CCCTCATTACCTTATCATGAGTCAAATGATAATCAGAGATCTCTGTAACCGTTTCCTCACTACTGCTAGCATCCATAGTAGGAAACTCCACCTCAAACTAAGCTTCCTTCGTTATAGTTTCTCCCTTGGTTTTCACTATTCTTCTTCTGAAGAAATTCTCTACCAACCAAGTAAGTTGTTTTAACCTCAGCTCTTCCCCAAAAACTCAATAACAACTCAGCGGTAACATGCATTTTTATCCCTTGATTTCTGCAAAATTCATTGTACTCCTCTAAAACTTTCTCAATGCATTCATAACGCCTTAAACTGAAATCCCACAACTCTTCCTTGTCATGAAAACCTCCACTAGTTAACGATGAATAAAATTAACATTTGAACCTTCTAAAATATATAGACCATATATTTTAGACCCTTTAGCAATAATCAATTCATCACGCGAAATCTTCAGCACTCCACGTTCAACTCTAGTACAATAGCCTAGATCATCAAACATACTTATAGATAACAAATTTCGCTTGAGTTCTAGAACATACCTCACATTGTGAATAAGAAGTTCACGATCATTAAACATTTTAAATCAGACTGTACCATTACCATGAACCTTGCATGCCTTATTATTTCCAAGGCGAACTACTCAACCTTGCACCATCTTCAAAATTTCAAAGTATTCTATTCTTGAACACATGTGATAAGAGTAACCTGAGTCAATGACCCAACTGTCTTCAGTTTTCAAACTTGATACTACTAGTGCTTCACATCCTCATAACTTTCCTCACCCAATGAAACTACAGCTTGAACAAAATCTTCATTGACCTTTCTTTCAGGACAATCCCTTTTAAAGTGACCAATTTTCTGACAATTAAAACATTTTACCTATGCCTTGTTAGACCTCTTTGATTTGGACATTCCTTTACGTTCACCTCATCCTCTTGACACATCTAAGCCTTCACCACTATCTTCAATCTTCAAATCTTTCGACTTTGAAAGTTCTTTGGATTTCACCGTCGTCTGGACTTAATCCAAAGTAATAGTACCTTCCTTACCATAAAGAAGCAAAGCCTTGTCCTCATCGTCAATTTTCACTTTAATATTCTCAAGATCATCGATAATCTTGTGAAATTATATGAGCTGTTCAACTATAGATTTGTTCCTTACCATTCAGAATGAATAGAGTTGTTGTTTTAGGTACAACCTGTGAGCCAAAGACTTTTTCATAAACAATGATTCGAGTTTTTCCCACATAGCAACCACAGTTTTCTCTCTGGCGACTTCTCTTAGAAATTTATCCCCGAGACACAAGATAATGACACTCCTGGCCTTATCCATCATCTCGATCTTCTGTACCTGTGTAAGCCCTGCAGACATCAATGTTTCACTCTTCAAAGCATCGATACACTTCTCTTGAATTAAAATTGCTTGCATCTTAATTTTCCACAACCCGAAGTCGTTGTTACCGGAAAATTTCTCTAGCTGCCATCTACTAACCATGGTGCTCACTTTTCAACAATATCTTTTTGCTCCATGCTCACTGCACCATTTGTTGTGAATTACGACAAAGTTCAATATCAATTTGTGAGGCAAAGAACAATAACAACTAAAATAAATGGTATTCAGCAATAATAATTCGTACACAGATAATATAACAGAATAAGGAAAGAAAAAACCAAAGGTTTGTTTATCCAGTTCGACCAAACGGTCTACTATGGGGGAGAGAATAACTCTCTAATTCACTATACTCATAAATTTGTTACAAGAGATTACAGACGAGTTACTAGAAAATAGCCTTCGCCATCAGGTTCCCAAGAACAACCCTGAAGGCGCCTAAGAACAACCCTATTTTCTACCCAAGTGTTTTCCAACCTCTCCAAATCTCAATATATGAATCACTCAAACCCAAGATGTAATCCAATGTTTTCTTTGTGCATAGCTGAAATCCTATGTTATAGCTTTAAACCCTTGGTCTCCCTTGTTGGTGAAAACTCTAAGATAGTCACACACAAAGCATATAAGAGATACATATTTATAATAGCAAATATCCAACAAAAAATGCCCAAAATCACATGGATTCATGGATTGAATCGAAAAAACCCAAAAACTCAAAAATACTATTCACCATACGAACAACACTATTCACCGTACGGACAACACTATTCACCAACCAATTTTTTTCCAGACTTTCTCGGTAAATGCAATCTCCAAAATATATTTTCTTTCTTTCATCAACAAAGGTTTTAAGGCACATTTACAACACATGAAAAAACTATAATCATTCTTATGGCTTCTAATCGAGTTACCAAAAAATTAAAATGATTAAAATGCATGTTCAACCTTTGAGTCTTCAAGAGATTTTGTACTATTAGAGCCATAGAGAGTAGATATCCATAAAGTATCACAACTTTTCTTGAACCTTGCAATCTGTAGACTCTAGCTGACAAACTGATTTGACAATTCAACTTGCTTTCTGCAGTACGGAAAACTTCAGCTTTATCACAAACTCTGAATGGTACCAGTAGGCAATTTGCTTTCACTAAGTGTAGTAACAATAATGTTGCTTCTTCTGATGCTGAAACCTTCGGCTTCAGAGTCTTCGCCAAACATCACTTAGCAAGTGTTCTTCAGATTCTGCCACCAGAAACTAGTAATACAACAACTCTCAAAGTGTGCTTAATGTAGAACAGATTCTGACAATAATATTTACAAGTATAAGAACCTACACACATGTAACACACATCAAATAAACCATTGTTCTTTCAATACTTTGTTATCATCAAAACTCAAAAAAAATATGTCATGAACAAATCTTGTTCTAACAAGTTTGTTCAAGGTGTTCAAGAATCGTTTTGCTTGTTTGTTTTGGCCTTGTGTTTGTTGGGTCCTTTAGCTGCAGAAGAATTTATTAGTCTTCAATCCGGAGGAAGCGGAGAGTCGAGATTGTTTTGATATAATTTTAAGGCTGAGTTGAGATTAGTTTCTTGCTTACTTTGGACATTCTACTTTGGTGCTTTGGGAGAATTGGAAGTTGGCATTTATTAGTTGTTAACTATCATTTTCCCTTGTTACGCTTTTTTCTTTTTTCCTTGGTTGTGGTTCCTTTCTTTGTATTAAAGTTGAGTACTCCTTATACTCCTCATAATACATTCTTACTTATCAAAAAAATTAAAAATGAAAATGATTAGAAGTGTAAGAAAAAAAAGAAAAAACCAATTAAAACTGATAATCTAAATTAAACCAAATCGGAAAAAACCAAAATTTCTAATTTGATTAAATAAACAAATCAAACCGAAAAAACTAAAGTGATTTGATTTTGTTCTCGACTTTCACTCTTATTAACTGCCAAATCGATGCACCGAACTATTAGCTATAGTTATCCACTTGTGTACTTCATTATTATACATAGATTAGCATTAAAACTTATGCATAAATTTCCATACCATATTTTTGTAAAATATATAAATTTTAGACAATTTTGGAGAAGCTAGTCATTGAGCTTTTCAACAAAAATATTGTTTTATATAATATCATTATCCTATTATGGTCTAATTCTAATTCTAATATATAAATTACCTTTTCACTAAAATCTTACCTTTTAACTAATAATAAAAAGTTTAAATTGAAATTGCATTTAACAATTGGGCTTTAAGTTTATAAAATTTAAATTTAAACTGAAGTGACAGTAATTAAGTTTATAAAATGAAGCTAACAATTTGATGCTTGAAAACTTAATTTGGCAGAGACAAGCTTTCATTCTACTACAAATTGAACTTCATCAACACACGTTGAACACGTAAGATACAGCACATTATGATAATTAATTATTTTTAAATATACAACTATGCTATTTTCATTTAAAATTCAATCATGTGTGCTGAGATTATGTATTTACCAGTTTTTCAACATACAGCAACCAACTACAAAAGTAGAGTATAAAATAGATTATCTGAAATATATTATTTAAAAAATAATAGTATAAAATAATACACCGAAAAATATAAATATAATAGTTGAAAAAAATGGATGTAAATTGCCTCAGCTATTTCAAAGAAACAGACTTGTGTGTCACATGAGTACCAGTAAGCTTAACCAATTGCAGAAACTGAGAACCTCAGAAACGACCAACACGATGCAACATGACCCGTGCCAGAACACAACACAACATTACCACAGGAACCACCAACCAACCAAGATAACCAAAGCCGCAACAATGTTTTTATACGAAAACACACATAGTACCAAACAAAACCTTCACTAACGTTACCTCCGCGCGTCCACGTTTTATATTTTCTATAAATCTCCAACAACACGTGTCGCCCAATCACTCACGTTCCCTTTACTCGACACGTGTCCTCCCTCGTAACAACTTGCATGACTGTGACCTCTACTGCAAAAGCACAAAAAAACATTTTGCAGTGAAAAATCGCGTCACACTCACCACGTGTCGTGGTACAGTACCCTCCCATGATCGCCACTTGTCGCTTCATTCCACGACCTCGTTGTCACATCCCAAGGGTATTTTCGGTAACACACAAATATTATTCTTTTTTTCTTCTTCTATTTCTCTTTCAATTTCAACAACTAAACAATTTTTTCATTCTTCTAATCTTTTTTTTTGTTCTTCTTCAATCTTCCCTATTGCATTCGTGTTTTGAAATAATCTTCCGGGTTATCGGAAAATCTATTTTTTGCGGGATTGTTTCCTGTTTTAACGGTTAAAAAAGATTTATTTTTGAATTGAATTCAAATTATTTTCTACTCGATTTCAATGGGTTTTTTTGTCTCCTCTTGAAAAGGAACGTTTTTGTGATCTGGGTCTATGCTATTCTTGGGTTTACCATGTTTTGTTTCATGGGTTTTGCTGAGTTGAATATTCATCAACATCATCATTTATCACCCCAACAAACAAAGTTTGTTATATCGTGTTCGTTGTAGAACAAGTAGTAGGTAGCTATTGCGGTTTTTATTCATTTTCATGGAGGATAAGAATCTACATGTATGATTGATTGATGAAGATGGAGAAATACCCGAGAGATCTGTTAGAGAGACTCTTTGTTTCAAGTGGTGGAAGTGATAACAATAATCATAACCCAACAACAACAACAAGAACATCAGAACAACATCATCGTCAACAGTATCATCAATATCTTCGTGAGAACCAGCATGGTGAACAAGAGGAGGAGGAAGAAGATGATGAAGATGAAGGGATTGAACTGAATCTTGGTCTTTCTTTAGGAGGTAGATTTGGTGTGGACAAGCATGCCAAGAATAAGAAGCTTATTCGATCTTCTTCCGTGGTTGGAACAATGCCTTTGCTCCGGGAAGATATTGCGGCGGCGGCCGGAGTGGCTTCGCCAACTCCGGCGTATCCGACTCTCGTGAGAGCTTCGTCGTTACCGACGGAGACGGAAGAGGAGTGGCGGAAGAGGAAGGAATTGCAGACGCTGCGGAGGATGGAGGCTAAGAGACGGAGGTCAGAGAAGCAGAGAGTTTCCCTTTCCGTTTCCAAGTCTGAGAAAGATTCCATTTCCACCGTGGCACCTACAGGTGGTGGTGGTGGTGGTGGTTGTTCAGAGGAAGTAGAGGGTGCTAATGCTGGTGCTGGTGCAACAATGGTGTTGAACAGATCAACAGTTGCTGCTACTATGCCACCTTTTGGATTACCGAATTGGGCTGTTGCATCAAAGCAAGTTGTTCTTGGTGATATGTTAGGGAAAGGGAAAATTGGGGTTGGTTTTCAAGGATTGATGTTTGCACAACCATCTTCTCAAGGTTCAGTAGAATCACAAGGTGGAAGTTCTTCATCAGTGTCTGAAATGGATAGCAAACCTTTTCTAGGTAATTTATTTCATTTCAATTTTCGACCTTTTTTGTTCTTATCCTATTGTTTGCTTTATTTAAAGTAAGGTTTTTATTGATTGTTGATTACTAGTTTCCTTGTACGTATGGTGTTTTTTTGATGTTTGTGGTTTTGTGTGGATTATGTTTGCTTTTGATTGTGTGAATGATCATTGATGAAGACAGGTTATGTTGTCTATTTCTGATTTGTTTCTTTTTTATTTGTTGTAAATTATTAAAAAGTATGGCTTATACTTGTTTGAAAGTTCTTATGGATTATGGTGAATTGATTCCATTCCCATTTGTTCCTACACTTTCTCCCCACTATGGATACATTGGCGATTGAATTTGAAATATGTGTTTTTACAAGACTTTATTTACAACTTGATAAATTTTATCTTTTGACGTACCACATAACCATTTGTGTGAGTATTTAGAATTTGGGGAGACAAGTTATAACATGTCCACAAGATGTTTTGACCTTATTTTACTAAGCTTTTTACGCGAATAAAATCTTATGAGAACATGCCCACCTTTACAATGTAACCGTGATCATGGATTGAAATTGTGGACTGCAAGTGATGCAGCCACAATGTAGATCACGGTTTCAAATTGTCGCCTGTATCATGTGATGCGGCCGCAATATTGTGTTTGGGATAGTGTATGCGGCTGCATTAAGTCACTATTGCGGTGTGATTGTAAATTATAGTAAAAACTACATCATAATGCCACAATGATTGCATCTCCAGCCACAACTGCAATTTAAAACCATCCTAAATAGTTGGTCACTTTGAAATTCTTTAACTATTCGTTATTAGCTTTTTGATATGTGATATTTTTATCATGGAGACCATCTTTAATCTCTAAATTATAACTATTAGCAAATTCCCTTGTAATGTTCACTTGTAGAAAGTTTTCATACATTGAATAATAGAAGGGGGATATGAACCTCTGCTAATTTCTTGGAACTTTTTAAATTTTATTAACAGATATTCATAAACTTCTCTAAATGGGTTCTGCTACTAGTTTCACTGGATAAGGAAGATATAGCATTATCTACCGATTATAATCCAATAGTCGCATGATTTCCTTATAATTTCATTTCTTGTCCAAAACTTGTGTGTTTTTACCGCTACTCGTTTTGTTATAATGACAGGATCAAGCAGTTGTGGTGAAACAAGAAGCCCGGCTAGTAATCAATCCTTACAGGAAAGAAGCAACCAGGACTCCGTCGGTTCATCAGGAGTGCCAAAGCCGAAAGAGAATTTAACTAGAACAAGTTCGAGATCCGAGGTAATGGAGAATGCATCTAGAAAACCTCATCCTACTCAAAATATTGGGAAGGAAATTGGAACAAACTCAATGGAAGACATGCCTTGTGTATTTACGAAAGGGTGTGGTCCTAATGGAAGAAGAATTGAGGGAATCTTATATAAATATGGCAAAGGGGAAGAAGTGAGGATAATGTGTGTGTGCCATGGAAACTTTCTGTCTCCAGCTGAGTTTGTTAAGCATGCTGGTGGTGAAGATGTTGCTCACCCTCTTAGACATATTGTTGTTAACCCTTCTCCTGCTCCCTTTTTGTGATGGTCCTTCAGAGCCATCTTACGTTTTTAAGACTCTGCAAATTTGTCGCAGTTTAAATATGACAACAAGCGGAGACTCCATTTAATTACGGTTTAAACGTGACAAACATATCATGAAATTCTATTTAGTCAAGATTTAATCGTGACAGATTTTAAATCCTCTGCGATAGTCGGCCTTATACACCTTCAAAATGGCCTTGACTTTCACAATAGGGATGTGTAATATATTCATTGTTGAAGAGAAGGAATATGTTAAATTAGTTTCATAGTTTCTTCTTAGTATGTACCTCCGTTCTGTTTTTCTTTTTGGATAAAGTCTTGAGGATTTATGAAACAATGTTATATAGAGTCAATTGATTCCCTTATGAAAGGTTAGATTTGTCCAGTTATTAAATTTATTTATCCACCATAGCCCAATATATTTGGGTATTTTATAGTTTATACCTTAAATACACATGCTTAATTTTAAATTTAATTAAATGTTGATATTCTTTCATATTATAAATTGAATTAGCAAATTGAATTTGATATTGTTATACTTTCATAAGAGCCACAAATAAACTATCTTAATGATTTTTAATAACAAACTTAAATACTCTATTTTCATTCATGATCATAAGTTAAGTACTTGTTAAACATATGTTCATCGATATAATAGAGTTTTGATTTAAGATCATTATTTTTTATTTATTTGGTGTCATTTTATTTTATCTTTTATTTAATTTTATTTTTTTAAAATATTTTTAATTTTTTTTTATAAATGAAACAAAAAATAGAAAAAAAAGAAAGTTGTAGAACTTTTTTTTTTCTGCTTGCTTTCACATGGAAATACGTTACTTCCTCTCTTCTTTAATTTCAGTTCTAAAACACTGCCGACCTTCAATAAATCTCTAACTAATAGCTTCTTCTTCCTTCTAAAAAAAACCCTTCATCATCTTTCCTTCTCACCTTTGTAAATCTCCATCTCAACTCATCCATCCACCTCCTTTAAAATCCACTCTGGTCCATACTCTCTCTATAACATTTGCACAAACCGCATTTTCATCTCCTTTTTCTTCTTTATGTGCAACTCCCTCTTCAACTCACCTACAACCACCCCACATATATCCATCTCAACAAACCTCATGAGCAACCACCTCCAAACCACTTAACACCAACATAACACCATGAACAACCAATAACCACAAACCTTCACGAACAACGCCGCCACGACGCTTCCATTAAACCCACAATCTGGCAACCGAACCTCCACACGTAGGAGAACCGACACACTTAAACCAACAACGCCACCACCTTCGCTCATAGTATCATTGCTCACCATGAAAGTTCCTCTTCCTTTCTCTTTTCAAAATTCGACAAGAAAATTTTAGAAAAGAAGAAACCCTCTCGTTTTTACAACATGAAACTTTCCTTTAAAATCACACACACAAAGAACAAAACATCCAGCAAAATGGAGAAATCATAGAACAAGAAAATATCAACGGATCTACAAAAAGTTGATGAAGGAGACACTCAACCCACAACAGTGGTATCTTGAGCCTTTGGTTCGAATAAAGGGAACGAATTACTTGTATCGAAAATATCCCCACAGGTTGTGGGTTGAGTGTCTCGTTGAAGAGTGTCAACGGCGGTACAAGGGTGCAGTTGCACAGTTGAAGTTTCCGCTTAAGGGAGAGCATTGTGGATAGACTCACACTTGAGGGAGAGTGTTAAAGTTAAAGTATTAACAAGTGTGAGTAGGGTGGATAATAGTCCCACATTGGATAGAAATGTGGTGACTTGAGCATTTATAAATAAGAGAACCCACACACCTATCACCTTAAGGTTTTGGGTGAGTATGTGGTGTGTCTCTCACAAAGGTTGCTCTAGAAAAAGTCCCACTATGTTCAATGCTCCCTAGCTGAGGTTAGGAGTAATATTATTATTATTTGGTGGAATATTATTATTATTATTATTATAGGATTTAAATAAGAAATAAGGGATTAAAGGAAATAGACAAGTTTTTGGGGAAATAGAATTAGAACACGATAAACGGTCGGAGAAAGGTTTTGAGAGAAAAAGAGAAACTGACGAACAAGGAGAGCTAGGGCAGAGAAACCAAATTCTCCATTGTTGATCAAAGAAAAGCTCAATTCTAAGGTAAGGGGGAGAATGGATTTCAATATGGGTGAATTAACATGAGAGGGTAGTGAGAGGTCCTTTCTCTCATAGGAATTATGTGTTCTTGAGGATTCTTGATCTAATTTTCGTAGCATGATAAATTCCATAAAATTGTTGCTGTTCTTGAATGATTATTGTATGGGGTATTACTTTTCATAGTTTTCTATGTATACCTTTCGGTGTGTTGTGGTAGATTGGTGTATTAGGGATTTGGGCAAATATGTAGAAATGAATGTGTTATATCATTATTAGTACGATGCTCTAAGGTTTCCCTAAGGTTTAGAGATTTGGGTTAATTGTGGGGAATAAGGAGGTAACCGTAGGAATCTGAGGTTATGGCCAAATGGCCAAATGACATGTATCGTTGAATATTAATATAGGAAAAACTTATGGGAAATTGAACCTTCGTGGCCAGAACCTTGACATTGTTATATGTCTGACCCTGAAGGGATTGAATATTAGATAGTGAGTAATTTTAATGTCGTAGAGTGTAATTGAAGGAAAAATTGTAATATGTTGTCCCTATAGGAATAGGAATATTCAAATGTGAGTAACTCTGAAGTACTCCGAGCAATTGCAGGAAATAGTGTTTTATGTGTTGCAAATGTTGCCAAATGAGCATAATAAACCATAGAAGTTGTGCAGTTATTGCCGTATAACCTTAGGAATGTTTTAGTGATGTTTTGGATGCTTTGAGTAAGTGATTCGCAAGAATAATTGAGTGAAAACCAATTCCGAAGCGTAACCGCCTCTTTCTGTCCGTCACGATGTTCATGTTTTCGGTCGAAATTGTTTTGGACGTAACTTTGGATCTGTAAGTCCGTTTTGACCCCTGTTCGAAGCGTTGGAAAGCTAATGAACAGAGCTATAACATAGGATAGATAATGGAATTGTTTTCCCAATATTTTATATCTAATTATGTTTGAGAAGTCAATTGTGTATATGTTTTAGTAACGCATCATGTTCTGGTTCAATGATGTCTTGGTGTTTTGATAGATGTGGGCCAAGATGGTCGAATGTGGGCAATCTTGTGCGAGTGTGGTAATTCCCGAGAGGATTACGGTGAGCGGATGGCTCGTGTGGATCAAGATTGATCGTGAATTATGCATGATGTATTACATTGCATAATTGTGTTGACATGCATTTCATATCATGTGTCTTATGGAGATGGCTAGGTGGGAATCCATGATGGGTGCCTAGTTTCATCCGGACTTCAATGTGAAAGTCGTTGTGGAGATAAGTTGTAGTTCAGAGGAACGTATATACGACTTATCCGGATTCCGACGGGAATCGGGTTCTAGTGTGAACCGTATGAGATTGTGTTGGTACCACATGCATTATGTCGAGTCAGTGAGTCGCATTGCATTATTGTAATTGAATGTGGGCTATTAGTGCCGAATGATTGAGGTGGCACGTGTATGTGCGTTAATTATGTATGATTGTATGTGTGGTGTGTAACTACTCCTTAGCATGTGTATTTCACCGTTTATTTATTGAATGTAGTTCTCACCCCTTTTTGTTGTTGTGTCTGTGCTCTCTTGGGAGTACAGGTGACCAGGTACCTGAATAGTGCTTGGAATGTGTTGCTATTCGATCGAGTCTTAGGAGTCGCTCTGATACGTAACATGGGATGACGGGATTACGTTGTTATTCGACTACTTTATTTGTTTATTGTTACATATCTTCATTTATTGGACCTATGTTGTATGACCTCGTGTCGAGGAGAATTATATTGGAGAATTGATTTGTATTCCGCTGCTTACTTGAAAACTAAATAATATTGATTATTTAATGAAATGAAGTGACTTAGTGTGATATCCCACTGTGTTGGAGAACTCTGATGAATTTCATGAATTATTCCTGTATATTTATTATATTCCGCGTACGGGGTAAAGTGGGGTGTTACAGGTTTCATCGGCTGCATGCAAAGTGCTGGTGTACGAAAAGTGTTGAAAAAAAGTTACAAGTATTAGTAGTGTGGAAAACAGTCACACATTAGATTGGAATATGGTGACTTGAGCATTTATAAGTGAAAAAATTCACCCACCTATTATCACTTTAAGGTTTTTGGTGAGTATGTGGTGTGTCTCTCACAAAAGTGTTGCTATAGAAAGAAAAGTCTCACAATGTTCAATGTTCCCTAGTTGAAAAACTTCACCAACAATGGTATCATGAGTCTTTGGTTCGAGTGGGACTGGCTCACTTGTATCGAAAGTATCCCACATGGGCATGGGTATGTGTCTCGCATGTGGTTGAGTGTCTCATTAAAGAGTGTCCAACGGCGATATAAGTGTATGTGGAAGAAAGAGCTTCCACTTGAGAGAGAGCATTGTGGTAGACTCACACTTGAGGGGGAATATTGAAAAAGAATTATAAGTGTGAGTAGTGTGATAAATAGTCCCACATTGGATAGGAATGTGGTTACTTGAGCACTTATAAGTGAGAGAACCCATTCACCTATCAGCTTAAGGTTTTGGGTGAGTATGTGGCGTGTCTCTCACAAAGGTGTTGCTCTAGAAAGAAAAGCCACACAATGTTCAATGCTCCATTGTTGAAAAACTTTCCCAACAGTGGTATCATGAGCCTTTGATTTGGAGCATGGTGGATAGACTCACACTTGAGGGGGAGGAAGTCTCATAATGTTCAATGCTCTCTAGTGAAATCTCCCTAACAAAAAGGTGGTCAGACTTTGTCACCGAAGAAGTGTTGTTTGCGGCAGTAAGATGCAGCTGTAACGAATTTGTGATGGAATTAAGCTTGTAAGCGTGAGGTTGGGAGTTCTGATCGGAGATTTCTGAGTGCTTCCAAGCATTTTGTTTCCTCTATTTTTTTATAAACGTG